GTCATTGGTTAGTGTCATCTGCACATTAGCGAGTAAAAGCACTTTGTCACAACCTCCTGCACACTAAAGTCACACCTGGCGTCGCGGCCACCTGTGTGCGAGGACAGCGAGGCGGGGTCTGTGCTGCTGGTGGTGCTTCTGCTCCAGGGCTGCTGAGACGTTCCGTGTCCGGGGCTTTCTCCTTCGTGCAGGTGTGGACTGGGCTCTTCCTGGGGGAGAAGTGGTGAAGACGTTAGATGTCTAGGAAGTTGGCAGCTGCTGTAGACTTGGAGGGATGGAGGTGGTGGTGGTGGCTCTGCCGTGTGGTGAGTGGTCTGAATGTGTGTCCCTCTTTGTCCTCAGGTGTCCATCGATTGCCCGTGGTCCATCTACTCCACCGTCATCGCACTGACGTTCAGCATGCCCTTCCGGACCACGCACTCCCTGCTGTCGGCTGGTACACGGTAAGGACCCCAGGCCCGGCTCCTTTCCTGGGCTCTCCTGCATGGAGGCCCTCTTGTTCAGAGCTTGGCCTTGGTGACATTAAGCATATTTTCTTACAGCTGTGATGCCAGGGTCCATCTGTTAAAATTCACAGTAATTCCCTGGGTCCTACAATGCCCAGTTGATACGCAGGTCCCCCCAGCTGTCTCAAAAATGATCGAGCAGAGTTGATTTGTAGGACATGGGATTCCAGCAAAGCCCCCTTTGCTTCTGAGATCCGTCTTTATCCCTCCTCCCCATTTCTCAAGCCACTGGCACATTGACAGGCTTGGGCCAGTAGTCCTCCAGAAGGTCTGCCTTTCTGGGTTTGACTGGCCGTGTCCTCATGGGTTTGTTTAGCTGGTTCCCCGTCAGCTGCTGTCTGTCCCCGCTGGAGTGCGGGCAGGTAGCCCTGAGCTGTGGGTGTTTGGCAGCACCCCTGGCTCCCCCACTTTGTGCCAGTGGCACGCCCACCCACCCCCACCCCAGTCTCCAGATGCTGCTCCCTGTGATAACCACTGCTGTAGTGCTTGACTCGGCTCAGAGTCAGTTTTTGGGCAAGAGAGTCTGCAGGTGCTGTCGTGTGCTCCATCGGCCCCCCATCGGGGGGCACTGTCCAGGGCCCCACCGCGAGTGCTGCGCGCCCGTGGACCCTGGGCTCTCGCTGTCACAGTCCCCTCTGGCTCTCAGCCGTGACGACGTTCAGGTAACTCGGAAGCAAAGCTGCAGGGTGTGTGCAGAGAGGAGCGTTGCAGCGGCGGCGTGCCTTCCCTGCACATCAGAGCCAGGGGCCTGTCGGGTCAGTGGCCAGACACGCCGGCAGCCCCGCAGGCTCTGAGCTGCTTTGCTTGAGCCTTGCTTTTCAAAGCCCCTCTTTACATGTGATGGAAATTACGGTGAGCCCTGGGTTCTCAGTGAGTTGTCATCGCTTCTGAGGATGGAGAGTGTTCATTGCTCTTTCCCACGACATGTTGCGATCTGTTGTATGTTTAGGAAAGTCAGTTATAATCGTGCAACAATGTATCCAAAATAGAACATTCTTTGATCTGTTTTTCCTGAGAGATAGCTTGCTTAGGAAGATGTGTTTCTCTCTCACGGTTTTACATGTGAAATTGAAAGTAGAAATATATGTAACAACTCATTCTTAGTTTACTGTGTCACTCTTTTTATTTCCTGGAGTGTGTCTTAACACAGCCAAAATATATTTGATAAAGGTCTCAAGTGTCAAAATCTTACTTTTTGTGTTTCTCTTTTAGGAAGTATGTTCAAGTGTGTGTCCAGAACTTGTCCGAACTTGACTTCCAGCTGTCAGATAGTAATCTCGTGGCTGCCGGGGACAGCAGTGACCTGCGACTCGTACCGCTGCACACGGACTCCCAGCAGGTACCCGTTCCCTGGAGTCGAGCATGAACTTCTGGACAGAAAACAGTGGAACAAGTATGGTGATGGCCTGCCTGTCACGTCTTGATGAAAATGACAGTCTGTTTTTAGCTTAAGCCTTTCCGCACAGAGCACGACCGTGCTGGTGGTTGGCGGAGCGCACGCAGGGAGGAGGATGGGCCCCGAGGCACGGCTCTGTGGCCTCAACGTCATGGTCGCGCTTCACTTTGGGCCGAGTGGCACAACGGATGGGTTAGGAGACAGGTTGATATTTGTATTTTCAGAAAGGTTAAATCTTACATGTGTCTGCCTCCATGCGCAGATGGACAGCACTCCAGGCTTGTTCTTGAGTCTTGTGCTGACCGCATGGACTCCATCAGCCCGGAAGCAGTGCCTCCGATTAAATGTCTGCCTGTGCCCAGTGATGGCTCTCGGGGGCAGGGGGGAGCTGTGAAAAGGAGCCACGCTCATGTCTGCGCGGCCTGGCTGAGCCCCGGCCCCACTTTTTCTGTCCACTTTCCGCGTGTGTTTTTAGACAGTGAATGCTGAGTGTTTAGAAGATCAGACTTTTCTTAATGGATGTCTGATCTTTAGTATTTTCAAAGGATTTTTCCCAACTAGCATTTGCTCCATTTCAAGCGCTCCCCACGTCTGTCGCTGCATGTGTAGGCGTGGACTTCATGCCTGAGGGGTGCTGGTTCCTCTCCTCCTTTCATCTAGTGGTAGAAACAGAGCAGCTGGTGTGGGTGTAACAGTGGCCCTTTCACCCGCTCGCTGACACGTCCCATGTTGGAAACGTACGGGCTGCTGCGTTCTAGTAAAGTCTTCCCCTGTGCTGTCAGGCTTATGAGCCATGACAAATCAAAGGCTTTTAACCAGCTGGGGGCAAGTCCCCGCAGGGAGGCTGGGTGCAGGCTGTGCGGGGCGCCTGGGGGCTGCGCGTCGGCCCGCCTCTGCGTGTGCGGTGACGGCCGCTCTCTTGCAGCACGTCCGCAGCGAGCAGGCCGTCTTCTTCGTCTGGGAGCTGAAGTGGACCCGGGAGCCTCCCCCGCCCCTGCACGGCCAGTTCTCCGTTGGATTCTCGCCGGCATCCGAGCAGCGGCTGCCTGTCTCCCTAAAGCCCTATACGTATGAATTCCAAGTGGACAGTTTTTTTGTACGTGTTGCCTTCTCTCTGGTGGGGTTGTGGGCGGGGGATGGACGGTGGCATCGTATTCTGTATCTTCTGAAGATCAGACGGACGGGCTCTTTCAGTACAGTGAAGCTGCAGACCCCGGGAAACGGCCTGTGCTCGGAGGGGCTGAAGCATCGCCCGCAGTGTTTGGAGCCCCGGGTCCTCGCCAGGTGGCGGGCCTGAGACCCGCCCTCCTGTGCGCTCTCCACTGAGTGTGCTGGCCTGCAGCCGGGACCTCCACCTCTTCCCGTCTCCCCTTCCCCCCCTCCCCCGACAGCGACTCCTTCCTCCTCGACCCTCAGCTGCTGCTCTATGAAGGCATGTCTCTAGTTTCTTAGGAGGAAAACTGAGAGTATTATAGAAATTTACGTAGTTGATGGGGCAAAGATTTTCTTTAATCTGCACGTTAAGTGCGGAGCTGAAAGTGGCCTGGAGCTGGGTGAGCAAAGAGGGATGCGGTTTGTTCCTTGGTGAGCTGATTGGGTTTCGTGTGAGGTGAGTCAGAATGTGGACACACTGTTTTGTGGCTTTTCCTTTTCTTCCTTTTACAGCTGAGATTGTCACACAGCACTTTATTTGAGAAGGTGTTTGTGTGCGTAGCTCTTGTTATTAGCAGTTTTTTCAGTCCCTCCTCCAACCCAGAGTATGTTTGCTTGGACCCTCCTGAGTTTCTGAGCTTTCTCATTAGCCTTAGAGTTAAGCATAATCCCTGGTGTAGCTCATCTTTTTGTTGTACAAACAGGGGCCTTTTCTATGTGTTAACAGCTGCCGAACAGTAAATGATTCATACGGTGAGGAGTCTGCATACTGTTAACGTGGTTTGCTCGCTGCGGATGGTTAATAACGAGGTAGCCGTGTCCACTGTTGCTTTTCCGTCTTTCTTGTTTCTTTTCAGACTCTGCGTGTAGGGAAGGGCTTCCTTCAGAGCGGAGCGAGCTGGGTGGACGGCCAGCGCGAGCACCTGGGGGGTCACTCTCTTCCACACTGGTCCTCCGAGGACTGGAGATCCAGATGCCACTTTTTTAAAAAAAAAGCTTTATGGAGATGTAATTTGCACACCGTGAAGCTCACCCGTGTGGCACGTTCAGCGCATGTTGTGTGTGACAGGCTTTTGTCACCACGGCCAGGACCGGATGTCAGAGTGCCTCCGCCATCCCAGGGCCTTCCCACGCCTGCTCCCCCCTTTTAGCCCGGGCCCGCCCAGAGGCAGGTGTGCCTCTGCCACCTGCTCGGGGGCAGGCGTGTTCCGTGTGGTCTTTCAAGACTGGCTGCTTCCCCGCGTCACGGTGTTGCCCAGGGTCGCCCATTTTGCATTGTGTGGCGTGGCCCCTCCTCTTGGGGGGTGGAATAGCGCCCCGTGGTGCGGTGGACCACACGGCTGCTCAGTCCTCTGCGCTGCACGTCCGGGCTGTACCCACCCCGGGGCTGCTAGGCATGGCGATGCTGTCTGGGGGGGTCCTTGGGTGAGTTCTGTGCACCCAGATGTGCTCGGTTCTGTGTTGCCGGAACACATGTGGTAAGTTTGTGAGAAGCTGCTGAACTGTTCTTAAGGAAACATCACTTTACATTCTCTCGGCAACATGTGCGGGCTCTGGGTTCCAGGTTCCCGCCGACGCTTGCTCTCGCTGGCTGTCTGGCCGCAGCCCCCACCCTGGGAGGGAGGCCGTCTCTCACCGCCGTGACGTCGGGTGGCGGTGAGCATCTTCCTTGTGCTTTTTGGCCATTTGTGCGTCTTCTTTGGAGAGACGTCTTTCATCTCCTTTTCCCACCTTTAGTACGGCTGTCTTCTTGTTGAGTTGTCAGTGCTCTTCGTGTGTTCAGTCTCTGATCATACATAGGATCTGCAGATACTTCCTCCCACTTCGTGTTTGTACTTTCACTTTCTTGATGGTGTCCTTTGAAGCACAAAAGGTTTTACTTTCGCTGGAGCCCAGCTTACCAGGCTCTTATTTCCTGTACTCTCGGTGTAGGATCTGAGCAACCATTGCTTATTATCCCAAGTTCAAAAAGGTCTCTTGTGTTTTCTTCTAAGAGTTTTATAGTTTGAGCTCTTAGGTTGAGGTCTGCAATCTACTGAGAGTTAACTTCTCTGTGTGGTAAGAGGAGGTTCCAAGTTCATTCTGTCTGCGTGGCCGTTCAGGTGCCCCCGTCCCATTTGTTGGCAGGACTCTTCCCTCCCCTCAGGTGGCCTTGGCACCCTTGTTGAAGATCTGGTGGCTGTCAGTGTTGGGGTTGCTTTCCGAGGAGGCTTATTTCTGGGCGTGGTGCCTGCAGCCTCCGAAGGTCCAGGGCTTCCCTGCGGCCGCCCCTCAGCCCGTGAGTGTCCAGGGGCGGCAGTCAGGATGCTTAGGAGCACAGTCGCCCATCGCTCCGTAGCTCAGTGCTGCCTTCCTGGCCCTGAGCATGACTCACACGTCTTGGCCTCTCAGACCTTCCGGACTGCGCAGCCCGGCCGTGAGCTGCCAGGGCAGGAGCTCCTCCGTCAGCCCCTTCGCTGTTGCTGCTCTCTCCGCCTGGCGTTCCTTCACCTTCTTCCCCTGGGATGGGGTCTGTCCCCTCCCATCCGGGGGTCACATCCCTCTGCCCCACACACGCGGCGTCTTTGTGTCCTTGTGGCCACGCAGCCCCTCGGGTCGGCACCTCTGTCCCCGCCCCACCCCGGCGCCGGTGCTTGATGGGAGAGTCGCTGGGCAAGGCCCCTCTGGGACAGTGTTTGGCCTTGTTAGCTCCCAGAGAAGTGTTCTGTCTCGGTAGCAGGCTTTTTAAAATTCCGAAATCTTTTCCTTGGACACGTCGCTGTACCAGCAGAACGCTTTGCAGTTGGGTTGTGCTGTGATCACTACCTACGGCTGCTGTGACTTCGGTACCTTCACGCTTGTCAAGTGGAGCACAGGTTGCCAGGGGGTGGGCTGCGGTTCCACACCGACCACAAGACGTGCAGATGGAGAGGTCTACTGCACACAGGCCCTGGAGGAGGGACGCGGCCTGCGCCGGGGCCACGCAGGAAGGGCAAGGCCGCACGCAGACAGGGAGGCAGGGCCTGGGCCACGTGCCTTTGAGTGGGTCTGTGGAGCGTCAGGGGTTCCTATGCCTGGATCAGTCAGTTCGCACCACAGAGCGGGTTTCATTCAGCCCCACGGGAGTCTCATCTGAGGGGCACGTAGGCGGAAGGCCCTGGGAGGCCGGGAGACGGTTAATCACAAGGGATGTGGGAGAAGTTGTATCAAGGACTTCCATCTGCTTGTGACTGCGGGCTGCTGTCTGGGACGAGCACTGGTGTGAGGGGCCAGTGTCAGTTTAAGGTCCCTGCAGGCCGCTCAGTCAAACAGAACGGCTGGTGAGGCAGCGATACCCCAGAGAAGCTGAGCTGCGCCCTGGACAGTGTCCTGAAAGGAGGCGTGCTGACCCTCAGAAGTGGGGCTGCCAGCGGGGCTGTCTGTCTCCCCGTGCAGACCTTGGGTCTTTTCTGGTCCTGGATGGGGTGCGGGTGAACAGGTGTGAATACCAGGTCAGCAGGTCAGAGGCAGAGACACTGCGGAGGCGGCTGGTTGTGGACTTGGTACTGGATGAGCCCAGGGAATTGGTGTTCATGTTGTGGTGCTGATGCCGTGCTCTGGTGAGAACGTGTCCGTGGTTTAGTAGCGCGTTCTGCAGCCATGGGGTGAGCTGGCAGGCAGGCTGGCCTCTGCCCTGAAATAGCCCAGGTGCTTGGACAGGGAGGACCCGCAGCAGGGGAGGGGCCCGGTGGGTGGTGGTGACCCTGAGTCTGCGGCAGGCTCGCGGGGCTGGCGGGGCCTGGACGGGTCCCGCGGGGGGAGACTGAAGGCTCTCGAGGCAGGGCTTCCCCAGAACGTGGTCTGTGCGGGGGGCTGGTCCGGGGGCACAGCTGATACGTGGCCCACGTGGAGCAGCGGCTCTCGCTCCGGTCTGCAGGCAGGACCCTGCGGCCTCGCGTGGCGTTTCTTCAGAGTGTCTGCGTGTCTGCTCTGTACCTGCCCTCCTTTCTTTCAGACGCTGTACAGTGTGACAGCTGAGATCTCGCCCCCACCGGGGGCTGAGCTCTGTAAGACGGGCGCCCTCTGCTCCTTGGAGGTGACCATCACACGGCTCGCCGACCTCTTGGAGGTGGACAAGGATGAGGCGCTGACAGAATCTGAGGAGTATTTTTCGACAAAGCTTATGTACGAAGGTAGGTCTGGAAGTGGCTCTCCCCTTGTGGTGAGACATTCTAGAATTAAAAGAGCGTTTGAATGCTGCGTGCTACATCATGGCCCTGGGCTCGCAGGAAGTTGAGCCTAGTCCCCGTGGAGCCACCTAGCAGGAGTTCCCGCCGTCGAGGGGCTTGGGGCTGAGCCCGTCCTCTGCCCGTGAGGTGGGGTCTGCGTGTCCTCCGTGAGCAGAGTCCAGGCTCCATCGCTCAGCCATCCGGGCATCCTGTGGTCAGGCTCTTGCCCTTTTCCCTCCAGCCTCCTGCCACCCCCCTTTTCGGCTCGTCCTCCCTCCCTGGTCTGCTGGATCCCCCTCTGCAGCCCCCTTCTCGGGGGCCTTCGCTGCTTCAGCAGAAGTTGTCGGGCTTTTCGTGTGCCAGAAATAAATATGGAGGCAGATATTTGTGTACTTATTTTAAAAAAAAAGGAAACCTGCTACATGATGTTACTCTGGAAAAAACTGTTTTCCAAAACACAAAACCATAGCAAGAAGAATGACGTGGTTCTACATCTTCTCACGTCTCTGCCGTGTGTGGCTGGGGGAAGGCGCCTGCGTCCCCGCCTGGTGCATCCAGGCTGCGGTAACAGCCCGAGCCGGGGGAAGGCATGGAGGGAGTCCAGTCCTGCACAGATACGTGGTTGGGAAAGGAGGATGCACCTAACAACCTTCAGATAACTGGATGGTTTTCTCTGACACCCCTCGACACCTGACAGGTGGTGGCTTTTTACAGGCTAGTTACCACATGGAATCTTGAATCACATGTGTGAGCTCAGCTCCATGAAATACTTTGATCTGTCTTGCACTTTGAGGGGCTCTTTTACTCTGGCACCGCCTCATGACACCATGCTTCGGTCACTAGGGAAAGTGGTTCCTGAGTTACGCAGACCTGCCCGATGCAACAGCCTTTAGTGCCCTGGCTCACCCTGAACCCACCGAGATCATTAGTGTTGAAGACACTGCCGCGCGTGAGACTCTCTGAGGCACTGGAGGAGGCACTGAGTGCTTGCCAGATGTCTTTTCTTTCCATCCTGCCGGGGCTCCCGCGAGGGCAGAGTTGGGAGGCCGACCCATGGGTTGGTGCCGGCCGAGCCACACCCTGCTCCATCCGCATCCCTGATGGGACAGCCTGAGCGGCCACGCCCTTGGTTCTTTACACACAGAGCTTTCAAAACAGAACTAAGTTACCGTTCACTTACTAACCTGGGAAGACAGTGGTCTTCTTCATGCTCCTAGCATACATCTTAGTTGTTGGACCAGGTGTGTTTCATTTTAAGGCGCAGTTACAAGGCGTTGAGGCCTCGGTCTGTGCGCCAGTGTTCGGGACTGTCGGTGCCTCTGCTCTGGTGTGAGCGCTGAAGGCCCTTCCTGGTGACAGCCGTGCTCTCTCTGTTTTAGTCGTGGACAACAGCAGCAACTGGGCCGTGTGCGGGAAGAGCTCCGGCGTCGTCTCCATGCCCGTGTGTGCTCGGGCCACTCACAGAGTCCACATGGAGGTGATGCCCCTCTTCGCGGGCTACCTCCCCCTCCCCGATGTCAGGCTGTTCAAGTACCTCCCCCATCACTCTGCGCACTCCTCACAGCTGGATGCCGGTAAGGGCGTGGTCCGTCCCAAGGTGGGATAAGGTGGCCCCGTGGGATCTGACAGCAGACACCTAGTCAGGGGCTCGCCACCTACTGGGAGAGCGAGTCCCCAAGGCCCCGGCCCGAGATTCCCTTCACACCCCTGTGCCCTGAAGCTTGCTGTTCCGGGAAGGGGAGTCAGGAGCGGGTTGAGGTCAGCATGGCCTCTGCCTCACCCCCTGTGCATTTTGCAGACAGCTGGATAGAAAACGACGGCCTGTCAGTGGACAAGCACGTGGACGAGCAGCTGGACAGCAGCAGCATCAGGAGCAGGGGCAGTGGGCACTCAGCCGCCAGCAGTGAGCACAAGGGCTTGCCCATGCCCCGGCTGCAGGCGCTGCCCCCCGGCCAGGTCTTCAACTGCAGCGCGGGCACGCAGGTCCTGGTCGTCCCCAGCAAGGATGACCATGTTCTGGAAGTCAGTGTCACATGACCGCGCCCCGGCTGCACCCCCAGGCTGGCATGTGTGCGCCTGAGGGGACCCGGCCGGCAGCTGTCTGCCGTGACTTCTAGCTCTACCCAGACTTCCAGGTCCTGCCCGGCATGGCGGCCGCAGAGAGTGTTCAGTGTTCGGCTGGCCCATGGAGCCACGTCGTTCTTTTGTGTTGTCTGTGGTGTGGAGTCCTCGCTGTTTTCTCTGCTCCCGACCCCGTGCCCTGCTTCCTCCGGCGTTTGCCAGCGCCCCACTCTGACACCACTCACCCTGCTCGTGGAAGCGCTTTCCAGTGGTCTCTCCCGCCCCCCGGCAGTCTGCCGGTTCTGGGTGGAAGTCCAGGTGTGCGTCAGGTGTGCACACAGCAGGCCTCGCTGTCTCGTTAGTGACCCGTGTGTGTCACACGGCGGCCCGGTGTCTGGACCAGGTGGGTTTGTAAGTCTCCTCAGGGGTAACACACAGCTCTTTACCCCACGTCATCTGGTTGTGCTTTTCTCCAATAACACCCCTTCTGGGCAGGTGGGTGGGGCTGGGGTGGGTGGGGCTGAGGGTGGTGGTGGGGAGGGAACAAACCCCTTCTGTGCCTTGGAGGTCAGACTGGGTGGGCCTGGAGCACCCATTAGCTGGAGCCATTTCAAAGGTACTGTAGGACAACTGGGCCAGGGCATGAGAAACAGCGCGGTATCGAACAATTTAGGAAGAAAAGTTTCTGGAACCCTTTCTCCCACCCTCACCGTGTTGATTAGGTATCACATGCACTTGGAATTAAATGTGTGTTTATTTAATTATCACATATGTGGGGGTTAATACGTTGCGTTGTTTTTCTCTCACCTTTAAAGCCTTTACATGTAATTGTAACTGTATAATCTATTTTTCTTTTGTACCTTAAGTCTCAGAAATTAAGAGGTTCCACTTAAATGAAGATTCGGGGTCTCTCAGTGTACTTCTAGTCTGGTTGTAGGAAGGATGAAAGTCTGGGACTACTCTCTGCTGTCCGCTAAATCGCAGTCATACCAATGGATTAACTTGCTTTAGGTTGTAAATTTAATTGTACATAAAGTTGATTTATTATTTTTAAAAGTACAAACTAACTGATGTAATGTTTATGTATAAGTTGCACCAAAAATCAAGGACAAAATAAATGTGTGTGTTTCTATTGGTGTGAAAGTCACAGCTTGTAAATAAATGTTGTGTGTATTAACCCTTTTCCAGCTCTCCAAAGCGAGGTATTTTTGTACATATGAAAAAGAGAACTCTTAATTCACTGGGGAAGAGTGGTTGGAGTTGAACTTGACCAGATTAAGTGAGTGAGTGTAGTCAGGTCGAGTGGAGGATGGGGCGTCCTGTGAATAACCTCAAGTGTGTGAGCCTTAGAGAAAAGGAGCCTTCTGCAGCTGCCACCATCCCTGCCTGCAGTGGTGGGCGGTGAGAAGGCACAGGTCAAGATGGGTGCAGAGCACAGCAGTGGAGTCTTCTCTTCTGATGTGGTCTCCTAGCTCATTTAACGAATAAAGGTGGTGAATCCCCCTCCGTGTCCTTCACTTGTAGAAACTGGAGACGTGTACAAAGAAGATAGTACTTGTGCGTCTCATTAAACCTTTCAGAAACGTTCTTTCCTTATGTGCAGTTTAAAACCAGTAAACTTGGTCAGCTGGTTAGGCAAACTAGAACTTCAGCATCTAACGATAGTTTAGGGTTTCTAAAGTAAATTGGCTTTATTGTAAAAATTGATTGCCCTACAGGTCTGCTACGCCCCATGTGTGAAGAGACCTTTGAGATTTGTCAGAAAAGCGTCTACCGCATATCGAGCCTCGGAGCCCCTCCTCCGCGTATAACGAGCTTCCTAGCTCACCTGGAAGGGGGGCATGATCACTGGTTAGGTTACCCTATTTCTGTTGGACTTCTGTGCTGGGTTCCAATTCCGGGATGAAATTCTCTTAACTACATACCTATTCAGAAGGGAAAAAAATGAAGGAGAAATCCAAAATGTTTATGGTGGTTTCTTATGTCTGGAAATTGAATGAAATCAAAATGATCAGAGGTTTGGATTTTTTCCCCCTAATTACCCAAAAGATCTTTTGCAATCTTAAATTACATGGGCTCCTCGGGGTTTTTGTTTGTTTTGTTTTGTTTTGTTTTTTAACACCAGTGAATAATGTCATCTAAAATTTCTTTTTTTTTTTTAAACTAAAAGGCTGTAGTTGGATTTGTTGTGTTTAAAATAAAGTAGGGCTTACGGGTTTGAGACAAGCTGGTTTTACTGGTAAAGGTGTAGCAGCTGTTAAGTAACTGTGAAGCCAGATACAGACTGTGCATCTAAAAAACAGAATATGCAGCCAGTTTACAAATATCTGTGGGACATGTAAATACTAGCAAATGAAAAAGAAAAGTTATAATTTTGGTGAATTTCACGGGGCCTCCTGTGTTGGAAAAATTATAACTCTTCTGATTCTAATGTGGAAATTGTGGTATTTAATCTGAAAATGACTTCTACCTGCAGTTCCATTGTAGTGGGCCAAATTCCTGTGTTAGTCCCTGCTGATGAGGCTAGACACCCTGTAAGAGCAGAGAAGAAACACACACAGGCTTCTACTCAGCTTTTCTTTAGTGTTTAAAATAAGTTTGTGTTACAAAATGAAATTAAACACTCCAGGTATGTATATACAATGAAAACTTATACTACTTTTTTAAATAAAAGATCAAACTAGACTGAGCTAAATGTTTTATTGTCAGCTGTGATCTTTAAAATAAATCCTATGTGGTTTTAAAATCTGATTTTTCATGAAAATGCCCCTTTCTCTAAATTTATTCATCCTGTATGTCAGGCTATAAAACCCGAAGGCATTGTTAATACCGTTTGCTGGGATTCTGTGGCTGGAAAAGGTGACAAGTTGGTGACTTTGATACTGCAGGTATTAATTCCATTTTCATGGTTTACTATGAAAGTCATTTTTCACGTTATTCTGTAATATATTGTTAGACTAAAACCATTGTATTAAGACTTTAAAATGTAAGCATTATAATTCTGAAAATACACATTTTAAGAAGAAACTTGGTGTTCTGAACTTCATTTTGCTGTGGAGTGTGAAAATTGAGCCTGTAAAGTTAAAGAATTGTTTTCTTTCCCCGATCCTTGTTCCTGACTCGAAGCATAGATTATTTACTTTTGGGGGCGCACTAGGGCTTTTTTTCACAACTTACTGCGAAGTAGCTCCCAAGTGGTAAGACTTTTGAGTCTCCAGTTTTCGGGTGGTAGACATAGTTGCCATCCTCAAATTTGACAACGCAACTGCCTTTGTCATCGCTCTTACAATTTCTTCGGAAACGTTCAATTTCCAATTTAAGAGTCTCCTTTCGGTCCCCATTTCATAATCTAGAGCTTTTAAACAAGTAAGCATGGGGTCGGACCTTCTCATGCTCCGTAGTGCCTGAACGGCTTGTGGGAGCCACGGGGCGGAGCCCCCAGCCCCCCTAGCGGTGAGGATCCGAGCCGGGACTGCGGTGGGCGGGGCCGGAGGGCGGGAACCCACGTCTCAGAGGCGGAGCCTGCTGGCTGGGACTCCGCCTCAGGGCGGGGCCGGCCGGGGCACCCACGCTTTGGGGGCGGGGCTAGCAGGTTGGGCCCCCCCACCACCTCCGGCGGCACCGCTCCTCCCGTCCGCGGGGGGCGCTGTGGCGCGCCTCCGCGCTCTCGCCCCGGAAGTGTTTCCTGCGGGCCGGAGGGCGGGGCGCAGAGGCTGCAAGCAACACATGTGCAGCTCCCGCGATGAAGTTCGCGTACCGGGTGAGTGCCGCCCGCGGTCGGGGAGTCGCGGGGTGAGGAGGAGGGTGCAGGGAACTTAGTCCGGGGGTGCGGGTGGTGTCGCTGCCCGAGACTGCTCCCTCGGGGGCCAGAGAGCCGCCTGGGCGGGCCAGGTCCCGCAGCACCGGTCCCTCCGGAGCAACCTGAGGGGGCCGGACCTGGGGTCGTGAGGGGCCGCAGCGCGGTGGACGGGGACGCAGGGGCGAGCGGCAGATGGCGGATGTGGGCGGGAAGGCAGGAGCCCTGCGGGAGGGTTTGGCTGAGCTCCGAGCAGGGCAGCGGGAGCCATCCTGGACTGAAGTCCCGGTTCCCGGAGCCGCGGCGAGCGACGTGGGAAGGACGCGGGGGCAGAGGGCGGGGAGACGGGTGCCGAGCCCCCTGGACGCGCTGCTGCATCTCGCCCACGTGTCGGGACCCTTGGCGCAGCGGGCCACCCGCTGTCTGGAGCCCCGGGCGTTCGCGCGCCCCGCCTCCTGCTGCCACTCCCCTGAAGCTTGTTTCTCCTCCGGGCCGCCGCTTCCGGCCTTTCGCCAAAGGTCAGGGCCCAGCTCCTTACAGGCTTGGCCTGGCCCTGGCCACAGCGCGGGCCTCCAGCAGCTCCATCCCACGCCCGCTGCCCCAAACCCAAGCTGGTGTTCCCTCTCAGACTGCTCCTCCCTGTGACCCAAACCCTCTCTGTCCAGCTCCTCTCGGCCTGCCCTTCGTCCCAGCTCCCCATCCCTCAGGTCATCTCTCTGGTCCTGACACCATCACCTTCTGTGCGGAAAGCCATGAGCCCTCACTGGCTCCCTGCATCCCCACTTGCTCCCTTGGTCACTAGCATGGCCTTCAAAAAATAGGAACTGATTACAGTTCACTTTTGCTTAAAGCTTTTCCAGCTGAACAGGCTCTTCCCTGAGCCTGGAGTTCCCAGGACCCTGCCTGCCTACAGCTCCAGATGCTCCTTGTCATCTGAGTTCCAGCTCAGGTGGCCCCTCCGGGGGTCCTTCCCTGGCCACCCCTTTGACTACCTCTCCTCTCACGCCTATGGGATTGGCTGACTTCGCAGCCCCGCTGTCATTCCTAATCACGAATGACCATGGCCATGGCCTGCCTGCCGGACTAGAACATGGGGGTGGGAGACCACGTGCAGAGTGCTGTCCAGCCACAGCTCAGTGCTGCTGGTGGAATGAATGGTTGACGGACAGGCTGCCGGCAGGTTACCCTGTTGTGGAAGCCTTGAACCCCGGGTGCGTGTGAGGTGGGGGCTGTTCTGCTGTTGCAGCTTTTCTCTTCCTGCCACGAGGTCCTGTCCTCCTCTCCACATGGCAGACCCCTCCTGCCTGGAGACTTCCCCGAGCCCACGGTGCCCCTGATCTACCTTGGTGGGAGCTCGGGGCCCCCGGGGTTTGCGCTCACTCCTTCCTTTCTCTTGCTCAGGACTGGGCCGGACAGGTGCCCAGGAAGTTTCTGGGTGGGAGGACTGGAGAGACTTCAGGAGTGATCAGGGTGCTCTGCGCCATCTTACCAGGGGCCTCATGCAGCCCTTTCCTAGAGTTGTGTTTTCTTTGTATTAAGAGAGCTCTGTTTTCTTTTCAGTTTTCAAATTTGCTGGGGACAGTCTATCGGTGTGGAAACTTAAATTTTACATGTGATGGGAATTCAGTTATTAGTCCTGTGGGAAATAGAGTCACCGTATTTGACCTAAAAAAGTAAGTACATTAGAATGACGTTGATGCTAGGGATCATAGTTTGCAGGTGAAAACGTGGTGTTTTCCTCACCTTTGTCTTAGCAGCACACTGTTACTCAGGGCCACCCAAGAGGGGCTGCAGGACTTACGTGGTGTCGATGGATCAGTCGTGGGACTGGCTGTAGGAGTCTCAGTTTCCTCCTTCTAGTCCCTCAGCTAAACCCCATGTATCGAGGTCTTTGACTTTACCTTTAAGGTAGAAAACATGCGTCACTTGGCTGAAACGTCTTGGGATGGATGCCTGGGCCGTGGGAGCCGAAAAGTTGGAACACGACGTAATAAGGGACAAAATTAGGGTGGAATCCAATGGCGGTTTGTCTTTAACATTATTTACTTTCCCACTTCTGTGCATTTTTCCGTTTTTGCACAAAGTGTGGCCCAGTGTTCTGTCCCTGTGGCTCACTCCCCCGTTGACAGCGGGCTTGTTTCCCGTCTCCTGACTTCCTGTTTGCAGCGTCCTCTTGGGATGGGGTTCTTGAAGCAAAATTGACATGCTCAAAGCCCATTTTTAAGGTTTTTAACATGCTTTGCCAAATTTTCTCCAGGAGGGGCTGTTGACAGCTCCAGCCCGGGGTTCTGCAGGGGTGGGCAGGCAGGCAGGCAGGCAGGCAGGCGGCCCAAGGCTGGCCCGACCTCCCCTCCTGGCGACAGAGACCTGCTGCTCAGCCCTACTCTCTCTCCCCCAGCAACAAGTCGGACACTCTGCCGCTGGCCACTCGGTACAATGTCAAGTGTGTGGGGCTGTCCCCAGATGGCCGCCTCGCCATCATCGTCGATGAAGGTAAGCACCTTTGGCCGGGAGCTGGTGGCGTGGGCTGGTGACTGGGGGACAGAGTGGCTGTGTCAGGCTGACTCCAGCCCACGTGGTCCTCTCCCTTGGTTGCTTCTGTGTCTGGGACCCTGGTGGGCTCAGGGACAAGGGCAGGTGTGCGGGGCGTGGACAAGCCGGGGCAGGCTTTCCTGGGGCCTGAGGCTTGCGCTGCCGGGGTGAAGTGCAGAGCCTGACGCTAACCCTAACCCTTCCCGCAGGGGGCGATGCGCTGCTGGTCAGCCTGGTCTGCAGGTCCGTGCTCCACCACTTCCACTTCAAGGGTGCCGTGCACAGCGTCTCCTTCTCCCCTGATGGCAGGTGAGCGCGTGCGCATGCCTGGGGAGCGGGGAGCTGTCAGCTGCAGCCTCTGGCGGGGAGTCTGTGCCAGGGCCTGGTCAGGGCCGGCCACAGGCGGCTGGACCCAGAGCTCCCGCTGGGTCTGCCCACCCAGAGAAGAGGGGAGTCGGGGCCCGAGAGAGGCAGGTCCCCAGGTTTGCCTTGTAAGGAATTGGTCTCAGAGCAGAGAACTGTCCCCCCAGGGGCTCTGAGCTGGTCTCAGGACCCTCCCTGGTATTGGATGCTGATGGCGCCGTTTCTGCAGGAAATTTGTGGTCACGAAAGGCAACATCGCGCAGATGTACCACGCCCCGGGGAGGAAGCGGGAGTTCAACGCGTTCGTCCTGGACAAAACCTACTTTGGGCCCTATGATGAGACCACGTGCATCGACTGGACAGACGACTCCCGGTGAGGCCTTGGGGCTCCGGGGCCCTGTAAACAGTGTCTCATTAGGGGGCGTGGTGACTCGTCACGTCCTCGTTTGTTTCCAAATGGCCTCCTGAGCCTCCTGTGGGGCTGAACGCAGGCTGGGCTCCCGAGTCTGAGTCAGGCATGCCCTGTGTTTGTCACCGGGAACCAGAAGGCAGACTTGGGACCTCGACCAGGACCCTGTTTCCTCAGCCGTCCTGCATTCTGTGCAGGAGGAGGGGAGGCTGGTGGTGGCTGCCACTTTGTATGTCAGGCTAGCGGTCCTCCCGTGCTCTGGGCCACAGTGTGGGGGCCACAGCCCCCAAGCCATGTGAAGTTGTTCCTGGGAGACACTGGTGTGCCCCTGGAGGTTGGGTCTGCAGGTAGGGGGCCGGCGCCCCGCAGCCCAGCCTTCCTGCCTCTTTTGCGGCGGTGCCCGGTCACACGTCTGGCTCTCTTTATGCCGTGAGTCAAGGGTCGCTCCTTGGGACCAGGGGCACGCCAGGGAGGCGAGAGGGGCGGAGCCCCCGATAGGCTTGGTGCTTGGTTCTCGGGCTGCCCCGGGCTGCCCCTCTATCAGGGACTGCTTTACGAGGAGGGGCAGTGTCTGCTGAGGCTCCTGGTCGTGGGAGAAGTTCTTATGGGTGCGGCCAGCTGCCGGGGGAGATGCAAGCGGGGCGGGCACAGACCCGACCAGTCCCTTCCTGTCACCCTGGCATCTCCTTTAAGTCCAGGGACCACACAGGGAGGTTGACAGCTGCACTCAGCTGCAGCTCCAAGGATGAGCTGTGTTTCCTCCATCCAGGTGCTTTGCAGTCGGGAGCAAAGACATGTCCACATGGGTGTTTGGGGCCGAGCGCTGGGACAACCTCATCTACTATGCTCTGGGGGGACATAAGGATGCCATCGTGGCCTGCTTCTTCGAATCCAGCAGCCTGGACGTACGTCCCTGGTCACAGCCCTGAGTTGGGGTGCTGGGCACTCCCTTGAGGCCCCTGCCAGTCGCTCCCAGGTTCCCTGGGGAGGTTTGGGAGCCAGCAGTAGCGGGGCAGTCTTTGGTGGCATGGGTGGAGCTTCCTTGTCACTGCAGCCCATGGCTGGCGGGGGCTGAGGGTCAGAATGGGCCACACCCACACATTTTCCTCTGCAGCTGTACACGCTCAGCCAGGACGCAGCCCTGTGCGTGTGGCAGTGTGACACGGCCCCTGAGGGCCTGAGGCTCAAAGCCCCCACCGGCTGGAAGGCGGACCTGCTGCAGCGGGAGGAGGAGGAGGAGGACGCAGAGAGGGAGGAGGAGACCACCATCCGCGGGAAGGCCGCACCGGCGCCTGAGGAGCAGCGGGGCAAAGTGAAGTACTCTCGGCTGGCAAAGTAGGTCTCCGCCTCCAGAGGCCGAGCTGTGACTCCTGCCTTAGAGGCCCTGGGCGGGCCAGTGGGGGGAGCCCGCCCCCCCAGGGGCACCTGAGCTGCTGAGCAAGCATGGGGGCTGGAGGCTGGGAGCGCAGAACTGTGGGTGTGAGGAGGTAGGGGGCTGCCCGAGGGACAAGGGGCAGCGCAGGCAGGCTGCCCGTGTGCAGTGAGGTCCTCCGCCCCGGTCCGGGGCGGAGCCGCGGAGGGGTGTAAGATCAGCCTGGCCTCTGGTCCTCCTCCCTCAGTCCTCATGTCCCGTCTGTTTAGGTACTTTTTTAATAAAGAGGGAGACTTTAACCACCTAACAGCGGCAGCATATCATAAGAAAGTCCACCTCTTGGTCACTGGGTTTGCTTCCGGAATCTTCCACCTGCACGAACTCCCGGAGTTCAGCCTCATCCACTCCCTGAGGTCAGTACCTGCTCCGTGTGGTTGTGTGTGTGCTCTCCAGTCCGCAGGAGGGTGGACAGAAGCCGTGCTGTGCCTGCCGGGACCGAGGGGCCAGGAGGAGGGCCAGCAGGCTTCCCAGGACACCTGCTGTCGCCTCTGTCCCGGGCTGAGTGCATATGAGCGCTGCTGCCCTGCCCCCATCTCTGACACGCAGCTCCCCCCACCTCATCCCCAGTCACGGGGAGCTTTGTCTCACCTGTACATCACGACATTTTTATTTTCCGTGTTCATTGTTTCTCTCGTGTCCCTTTGGAACATGGAGAAAACTAAAACACTGGTTTCCCAAAATCTCACGGCTTGGAGGTTTTGAACGTGGGCACGGCTCTGCATTTGCTGATGCTCTGAATGAAATGAACTGTTTAGTGCAGTAACCGCACGGTGGGGGGAGTGGTGCAGACGTGGGGAGACTGGCCCCATCTGCACCTACGGCCACCCCGCGTGGGGACGGGAGGCCCTGTGTGCTGACTGGGCCTGCATCTCCCCAGCGTCTCAGATCAGAGGGTCGCATCCATCGCCATCAATAGCTCCGGGGACTGGATCGCCTTTGGATGCTCAGGTTAGTCTTCGTGCCCAGGTCTGTGAGGACAGGAGCAGACCCCTTCCTCCAGGAGGTCAGCCTGCTGCACCCCCACCCCTGAGGCACTGGGGCCAGGCCGGCAGCTGGGTGGCTCACATTCGAAGGAGCAGTCGGTGAGACTTTGAGAACAGACGCTCATCTGAGTCACGAGTCCTGGTGCCCGTCAGCAGTGCCGCCTCGGCCTCGGCCCTCGGCCTCGGCTGGGGCATCAGGAGGTTGGCGTCTCCTTGCTGAGTCCCCTCGTTCAGGTGTCTGGTGGGGGCACCTGCCTCAGGGTGAAACTGGCCATCAGAATGCCAGCGTGAGTCCCACAGGCAGTCAGCCCCGCCATGTGCCCGCAGGCCTGGGCCAGCTGCTGGTGTGGGAGTGGCAGAGTGAGTCCTACGTGCTCAAGCAGCAGGGCCACTTCAACAGCATGGTGTCCCTGGCCTACTCCCCTGACGGGCAGTACATCGTGACCGGCGGGGACGACGGCAAGGTGGGCTTGTGTCGGGGGCGGGGGAGCACGGCCTGGGCGTGAGGAGTCGCGGGTCCTGTCCCTGTCCTGCCAGCCTCGGCACTGCGGCCAGGCCCCAACGGCGGGGTTCAGCCTGGGGCTTTGGGGCTCACCCCGCCTCATCTGGGCTCAGGAGGAGGTGTTTGCAGGTCTGCCCAGATCTGGGTGGAGGGGCTGTGGGTGTCTCTTCTGGGCTGGGCTCCCATGCGCGGCTCAGAGCTCTGCGGTCCCAGCAGCTGCGGTCTGACCCGGGAGGGCGCTTGTGCCTCTGGGGAGACCTGGGCCTCCGTGGCCCACCTGAGCTGTGGCCCTCCCGCCCCTGCCCTCCCCACCGCAGGTCAAGGTATGGAACACCCTCAGTGGCTTCTGCTTCATCACATTCACGGAGCACTCGAGTGGGGTCACCGGCGTGACCTTCACCTCCACCGGCTACGTCATCGTGACCTCTTCCATGGATGGGACCGTGCGTGCCTTTGACCTTCACAGGTGACCTTTCTGCTGGCTTAGGATGCTGGCTCCGCAATTTCTTCATCCCCGCTGGGCTGAGAGTGAGGCTGGGGGCTCTGGGTGTATCGGGAAGGGAACGAAGTGGAGCCCAGTGTCAGACCCCAGACGCACACAAGGGTGAGCAGGCCCTCCATGAGCCGTGCCCCCCGGGATGCATTCTTCCCGCAGGTACCGGAACTTCCGCACCTTCACGTCTCCGCGCCCCACCCAGTTCTCCTGTGTGGCAGTGGACTCGAGCGGGGAGATCGTCTCTGCTGGGGCCCAGGACTCCTTCGAGATCTTTATCTGGTCCATGCAGACGGGCAGGCTCCTGGACGTAAGGGCCGCGAGTTCCAGGAGCTGCTCTCTCGAGGGACTGGGGTGCAGGGAGGGGGCCTCACTGATCCCAGAGGAGCGGGTGGGGCAGAGGTTGCATCTCAGGAGCGGGCCGCACCATATACATGCATTTTCTGGGGGCACCTCACTTGCCTGCATCAAGACAGAGCTGTGTCCCCCTCATCCTGCAGCACAGGGCCTCAGAGGGGCTGTGTTTCAGCTGTGGCCTCTGAAAGCCAGCATCTGGCAGGCACGTCGGGCTGGGGTGGCCGCGGAGGGTCTCACGTCCTCAGAGCTCTTCTCTGAACTGCTGTAGGTTTTGTCTGGCCATGAAGGGCCCATCAGTGGTCTGTGTTTTAACCCGATGAAGTCGATCCTGGCCAGCGCCTCCTGGGACAAGACGGTGCGGCTGTGGGACATGGTAGACAGCTGGAGGACCACAGAGATGCTGGCCCTGACCTCCGATGGTACGCAGCGCCCAGGGGGAGGCCCAGGCTCTGTGCTGTCAGCCACCTGTCTGGGGCACTGGTTTGGATAAACCCAGGGCCCCAAGCGCTGAAGGCTGCGGGGGCTGGGGGCTGGCTGTGTCACTTGGCGCCGGGCACCCCGGGGAAGCGAGGCGGGCCCTATTGCAGCAGACTTGCTGGCGCTGTCGGAGCTTGCCTGTGGGTTAACAGTGGTCTGCGAGAAGTGGTCAAGGCTCTGCCCATGCTGACCACGGGGAAGCATGAGGTGGCTGGAACGAAGTGTCCTTGTGCACAGCGGGCCGCGGGTGGACGTCTCGGCTGTGGCTGCAGCTGTTGGCCCCAGGGGCTTGTGGCCTCTGCTGTGTCCAGTGCTTCTGGCCGCCCCACCTGGCTCTGGTTCAGGCCGTTAGTGGCCGGCCCCTTGCGTCTTTGTGGAGCCAACTTACTGACCTCTTGCCCACAGCTAGTCTGTTTCTAGTCTGCCCATGACCTCAGTGTGATCCTCCCGCCCAGAGCCCTCCACCCAGCTGGCCCCTCTCAGTTGTGCCCCCTGCCTGCCCCGTGGCCCCCAGAGCCCCCCTGGTGCCAGCGTGCAGCCCGGGTTGGAGCAGGATGAGGGCAGTGTGGCCTGTTGGCTGGAGCCCAGGGTCTTCCTTGCCTCAGACCTGCGTCTCTCTGCAGCTCTGGCTGTGACCTTCCGCCCTGATGGAGCAGAGCTGGCTGTGGCCACGCTAAACTCACAGATCACTTTCTGGGACCCAGAGAACGCGGTGCAGATGGGCTCCATTGAGGGCAGGCACGATCTCAAGACGGGCAGGAAGGAGCTGGACAAAATCACCGCCAAGCACTCAGCCAAGGGGAAGTGAGTGCTGAGAGCCGCCCCAGCAGGGCTCCTCCTGCCCGTGGGGCCGTGGGGCGTGGGTGGGGCCTGTGGGTTAACAGGCTCCCGCGTCCTCACCCTGAGGATGGCCCCCGTTTTCAGTTCTCCCGGGCGTGTCCCCAGCAGTGGCATTGCTGGGTCACATGGTGGCTCTGCTTAACCTTTTCAGGACCCACCAGACTGCTGTGCGGAGAGCCCGCACTATTCAGGTACCACCACTGGCGCAGGGGTTCCAGTTTCCCGCATCAATCACTGACGCTCTTTCCTGTGTTTTTTTTAACCCCGGCTGTTGGTGCTTCGTGGTTTGGGGCATCTTTTCACGGACGGATAGGCCACTCGTGTGTGGGCTTTGGAGAAATGTCTGTGCGGAGCACCTGTCTGCTCTAACGGGCTGTGTGTCTGTATTGTTGACTCGGGGAAGTTCTCCACGTACTCGGGACCTGAGACCCTCCTCAGACGCATCCTCCCCCGCTTCTGCGGCTCATCTCCAGGTTCTAGAAGGTGCTCTTTGGAGCACAGGTGTTTAAATTTTCACGAAGCCTCGTTTGTGTTTTTTCTTTTGCTGCTTGTGCTCTTGGTGTCACATCCAAGAATCCTCTGCCAAGTCCAGGGTCACTGTGTTGAGTCCCTGAGCCGACAGGGCAGTGAGTGCCTGGGTTCTGGTCCTGCGGGACTGAGTAGACACCCCTGCCAGCGGCCGCTGTGAGGGTGGCGGGCAGATGGGTCCCCCTTCGTCCTGACTTCAGCCGGGAGCTGCCCAGATGGGGCCACATGGCCCTGTGAGAAGGCCTCTTGGAGGTCACTGTGCTGTCCGTCCTCTGGGGCTATGATGCCTCGGCAGGAACTGGGAGGCTGGGCTGCCGGTTCTCATCCTGCAGCATTTCGGCCAGGGCCGTGTTGGGGAGGGTGCTGTCTGCCTTCTGGGTGGCGACTGAGTCCGCGTCCCCTCCGCCCAGGGCCTTCACCACTCTCTGCTACTCCGCGGACGGCCAGAGCATTCTGGCAGGAGGGATGTCCAAGTTCGTGTGCATTTATCATGTCAAGGAGCAGATTCTCAGGAAGAAGTTTGAGATCTCTTGCAACCTCTCTCTGGACGCCATGGAGGTGAGTGTGCTGCAGGGTTCCAGAGCTGGGCTGCAGACTGCATGGGCCCCCACATGGGCCTCAGCCGGCTGTGAGCCCCGAGTCTCCCCAGCCCACCCTCGGCCCTCCTCACACCCCCTCCAACAGGAATCCAACCACCGCAGGGCCAGCAGCAGGCACTGAGGGGAGGCCTGGCCGTCCCGTCTTGGGCCCCGTGTGTGCCGTGTGCTTTCCAGGCGGGGCCGGCCTCGCACCGTCGGTGGCACAGGAGGGATGTGGGGCAGACCTACCTGTACCTCCGATGGTAAGGTGTCCTGGATTTTGCTTTTAGGAATTTTTGAACCGAAGGAAAATGACAGAGTTTGGCAACCTGGCGCTGATTGATCAAGACGCCGCGGAGGAGGGTGGAGTCGCGATACCACTTCCAGGTGTAAAGAAAGGTGAGCAGTAGGTCTCTGGTCCTGGTGGCTAGGCCACAGCAGGCCGCCCTGCTCACCACCCGCTTTTCCTGGTGATGACGCTGTCTCCTCTGGTGGGGCTGCTGTGGCTGATGTCCCCAAGTCCTTGCTGCACAGGTGTGGCATCTTGTTGGAGGCCGGGCCAGAGCTCAGCCCTGTGCCCTGTGCTTGCTCCGACCTGGGCCACAAGGAAGACTCGGTTTTTTGCGGGGGGGTGGCTGCCTCCCAGGCCTGAACCGGGAACCACCCTGCCTCACAGCCCTGGGCTGGGCAGGGACTTTTCTCCCGAACAGACGAGCCCATCTCCCCCTGGGCTGGAGCTCACGAGAGTGTTTGCTCCAAGGGCTGATCCGTGGAGGCGGTCCCGGCACAGGGCTCACCTGCTGTGTCTGTGGGAGGGTGGGGGGCAGGGATGCCGCTCCTGCCGGGTCCAGAGGGTGGCCCTTTCTCTGTGGGCCGAGTAGGGGAGTGTGCATGCTGTGACCGGCCGTCCTTTGCCCCTAGGGGACATGAGCTCTCGGCACTTCAAACCTGAGATCAGGGTGACTTCGCTCCGCTTCTCTCCCACCGGTGAGCCCTGGGCGTCAGGTGGTTGGCGTGGGAGGGGTGGGGCTGGTCCTATGGGTCTCTGGGCCTGTGGTGTGCACAGTGGGCCTGTCACCCTGCTCCTGGGGGCAGGATCAGCATGGAGCTTCTGGCTGGCTCTGTGCACCGCTGTCCTCCTTGGGTGAGATGTGGTCGTCCTTGTCCTCCCTGAGAATGGCTGTGACCTCAGACCTGCGAGGCTCAAAGTCAGGAGGTGGGCACCTGCCCTGAGCACCCTGCCCATGTGCCATTTGGGGCCATCAGGCACCTTGCTCCCTCGCCCCATCCCCACCACTGAGAGTGTCCAGTTGGGGAGGGTCTGTCCCCTAGAGCCTGGGGATGGAGTGGGACAGGGTTGCAGCAGGCTGATGTCTACGGGGTGGTGGCCATGCCTCCAGCCCTGGTTGAGAGACAGGCAGCTGGTGCAGACAGCACGTGTCATTGCACCACCGTGGAAGCCAGGGCTGCAGACCGGGGCCCGAGGGACGAGTCTGGGGGCCCCTGCTCTGGTGTCTGGGCAGTTTCATCCTCGCACCGTCATGGAGTAGAGAAGCTGCAGGAGAGGCCTGCAGAGCTGGAGAGTGTGCCCTTGACAGGGAAGCTCGCCCACCCAGCGGGGATGAGGGTAGGGTGTGAACTCAGGCAGGTGGCCCTGGGGACCTGCAGCGGTGAGGGGCTGGTGGCCAAGGTAGGAGCGGGGCAGGCGCCCCTGCTCCCTTCACACTGGTGTGCTGGGGGCTCCAGGACCGTCTTCAGCACCTGTTCTTCAAAACATGGGGAAACATGGAAATCAGTGTTCTGGGAGCCTTATCAAGGCTTTGTCTCCCAGGACGCTGCTGGGCGGCCACCACGACCGAGGGACTCCTTATCTACTCCCTGGATGCGCGCATGCTCTTTGACCCTTTCGAGCTGGACACCAGTGTCACCCCGGGGCGGATCCGGGCAGCGCTGCGCCAGCGGGACTTCACCAGGGCCATCCTCATGGCCTTCAGGCTCAACGAGAGGAAGCTGCTGCAGGAGGCCCTGGAGTCGGTGCCCTGGGATGAGAGTGAGTGGGTGGGCGGGGTGTGGGCGGGCGGGGGTGGGGCGGTGAGGCTGGGGGAGGAGGCGTGGGGGCGGGGCGGGGGCCGCCGGGAGGGGCTGGGGATGGGGGTGGAGGGGCGGGGCGAGTGGGG